CAGCTGTACTTTTGTATTAAAATAAACTAAAATAGCTCCTTTTGATTGATTGATTGATTGATTGATTGATAGCATTTATATAGCGCCTTTCAAGATACCCAAAGCGCTTTACAGTTTTGGACATTCACTACAACTTTTCTTTCCCTGTGTGGGCCTTGTTTTGTTATAAACGTAGGAAAATATCGATTATTGGCCAAAAACAGTAAGACACAAATCTGATATTGGATGAAAAAATCCACATTGGTCCATGACTTGGCACAACCAATGATCCCAGGTCAGGGGTGTCCAAACTTTTTTTTTTTTTTTATCAAGGGCCACATCTCTAAACACAGAAGAAGCAGAGGGCCGATCGAGGGCCGTAGGCTGGTGCTCAGTTTTTATTCATGCTAAAATCCTTAAAGGTTGTGTAGAGGATTTTTTTAAGGGAAGAGAAATACAGCGACAGTCCTTGTGCGCGTTCAGAATTACTGTTGAAGTTTCCTGTCTGGAAGTAATTCAGCGACCGACGCGTCAGTTTTTAGACGCTTCGTCTGCTTCGGTCGCGCCATCGCTGGACGAGATCTCCAAGAATCACCTCAGTTTGGCTTTGCTCCTTTTCCCCTTCTCTTCTTCTTTCAGCGACCTCAAAAACGGACTTTCTTTTGCGGCGAACCGGTCGTGGATTCTCGTCCGCCGTCGCGACAAACTTTGTGCGAAATGTGAGGAAGCGACAGTTCGAAAAAGCCTCTAAGAACCGCTGCGTAAACCACGTAATCCCCGCGCTCCGACGAGTCAGTTATACTAGGGAGTTTGATTGACAACCTAACAGCCAATAGAAAATGAGGGAGCCTCGTTTTCTATTGGCTGATGTTTATCTGGCTTCACTACGTCCACAGTTGATAGATTTTCGTTCTTTTTTTTTTGGTCATCATAATTACAAAGCTGCTGCGGCTCTGTAATGGTATTTTAATCTTTCACTGACAGTTTGAAACAAAAAAAAAATCCTCCATACAACCTTTAAAATCACACACTAAATATGAACTGTTTGCTTAATCGAGGTAGATTTAAAAAAAAAAAAAAAAACTTGCAGTAAAAAGTACATTTTTAATTGACTCAAGGTAATTTGGGCCAATTCACTTGGAAGTCACCATCTTAGACCTAGGACCAAGGTCTAAGATGGTGATAATAGTTGTAGTAAACATCAATAGTCAGTTTGGAAGACCTACAAATGTGGCTCCTGTGGCTCATTTCAGTCTGTGATTAAACACGCTGAGGCGCAAAGACAAATACTCTTCCATTTAGTGGCATTATGTTCCCTGCTTCAGATGAAGAACAAAACACTTTTCAGTGAAGGTGCTGTGCTCAAACTATCAGCCTTTAGTGATTATAAAACAATTTACGACACTCAAGTTCATCAAAGTGCTTTCCTATAAATAATCAGAGGTTTCTATTTCCTCATACAAAAGGCAGTATGTAAATTTGTGATGATGCACGATGGCAAGGACATAAAGTTGAAATTAAACTTTGGAACAAGACGGACACGTTTCATCTCGTACTGTGGCGTAAAGCCAAAGGAAACAACAGTATCTCTGAAACAAACAAGACGAGGCCAAAAGTCAAACAAGGGGAGAAAATGCACAAGGTGGAACTGAGCGTTTTGAGCTTTGGAGATATAGACAGACGAATAATAAAAAGTTACTCAAACATGTGTGAAAGAAACAAAACACAACTCCAGGTCTGTTTGTGATGAGATAATAACTTTATAACACAGTTTAAAGCTCACAAGAGTCAAGTTTGTGTAATATAGAACCTTTAAAGCAGGGGTGTCAAACTCATTTTGGTCCGGGGGCCGTATCCAACCTACTTTGATCCCAAAGGGGCCGGATCAGAAAACTCATGTCATATAAACCCCAAAAACACCAATAAGTTCAAATATTTGTGCAGAGAAACAAAAATCTATTACAGAAATCTTTTTTTAATTGATGAACTGTTTCTTTTACAAAACATTATAATATTATGAACAACCTGAAACTTTAAGAAAAATGCATTTTCAACACAATGTTTTAACATGAACTTGTATGTAAATAGGAATAAGTCAGTTTTTGTTGTAAAATCCTGCACTCGGCTCCACTTTTCTCATGTTGGACATTTTTCTGATGAGGGTGTCACGGTCAACAGTCAAAACGATCGTCCTTTAAGAGCGTTTGGAAAGAGACAAGTCTTCATTTGTGCTGCTCTGGTGGGAGGGGCCACGTACAGAGACGCTGGAGACGCTGCTGTGATAAACACCACAGAAAATTAACAATATTTTAATAGAAAATATAATTAAAATATTTGAGTAGAAAATCAGCCGAGGGCCAGATTAAAGGTCTTGGAGGGCCGGATCTGGCCCCCGGGCCGTATGTTTGACACCTGTGCTTTAAAGTATCTCCACAGACATCTCCACAAGTATCTCTCTCAGTGTTTTGAACATGTTAAATTAAATAAAGCTTTATAAGTTTTCACTGAGTAATTGAACCTTTGCTCAGATGGAAAAGTACCTAAGATCCACCAAAAATGGCTCATGGTCAAAGATTCTGTTTGAAATTAAGGAAGTTAATAGTAGATGTTTTTATTACTTTAAACTAATCAGAATATGCCAAAGTTTCTCGGGCAAAAATGTTATCAACATTTTATCAACTAACTGTGCCCACATGGGGAACCTGAGGCTCCAAAGAAGGAACAGAGACAACCAGCTCATACTTCATACTTGTCTGGAGGTGTCACTGTAACATATTTAGATCTCCTTGTGCCTTTTAGTGTTTTGAACAAGTTAAATTTGCCAAAAACGTGTTATAAGGTTTTATAATTTTCACTCTTGTTTCTGATGCTATGAGTCTCCTGTCCCTTTGCTCACTGCACAAAGTCACTCCCCCTTCAGAGCACTATCACAACACAGTCAGTGTGCATCCAACTAATTATTAACTACTGCACACTGCATCAGGTTTGTGACGTCAGAGTGGATTATTTTGGATCCTGCTTTTGTGTGTTTATGGAGAAGTGTCGTGTAGCAGAGTTCAAATGGGGCCGAGGAGAGAAAAACAGAATTCAAAAAAAGAAAAAACTAATAAAAATAAATATGAAATCAGCCGCCCTCCTCTGTGAGCCAGCTCAGATTTGGCTGAGAAAAAAATTTCTAATAATTTCTAACATTAACAAATGAAAGAATCTAAAAATGGCCTTTTGAAATTTTGGGGACATGCCCACTTTTCCAGAAACCTTAATTTATAAGCATTTTTGAGAGACCAAAACTTCATAAACATTTACAATTTTTTATGTTTATATTTCTGTTTATGTTTAAATTGTTGTATATATGGATGAAACACTGGGGTGGGGGTGGGGTTACTGGTGTTTTCTGTTGCATGTGAAGCACTTTGTACTGCATTTCAAATGTATGAAAAGTGCTATACAAATAAAGTTTGATTGATTGATTGAAAAATAGAGCTAGGAAGCTGAAAATTCTGGGTCATAGATTCTAAATTTCCAAATAATCTCCAATTGTCTTCCCTTATAACAAGCAGTCAGTGTTTAAGTCTATTAAAGGTAATTGAACCTTTGCTCAGGTGACAAAGAACCTAAACTCCACCAAAAATGGCCCGTGAAAGCTCATTGTCAAAGATTCTGTTTGAAATGTTAATAGTAGTAAAAGTTCATATGTTTTTATTACTTTAAACTAATCAGAATATGCCAAAGTTTCTCTGGCAAAAATGTTATCAACATTATATCATCTAACTGTGCCCACATGGGGAACCAAGGCTCCAAAGAAAGAACACAGACAAGCAGCTCATACTTCTAAAAACTCTAAAATCACCAAATGAAAGAATCTAAAATTTGAGCTCAATCTCTTCAGTCGTTCCTGAGTTATGGCGCTGTGATCATGTGACCATCTAATGAGCCACAATTATGATCAAATCAATAATCAAATCTGTCAAAACTGGATATTCAGTGTTGGGAAGTCGTTAGTTGCCCAAAGTCACGACTAAAATGTGATATATTACACTACTTAGTTACTGCCTCTTAGTTAGATGACTTTATTTGTAATATTGTATGATGTTGTTGTTGTATGTTACTGTATTTGTGTAAATAAATAAAGAATGCACTTTTATATTTTAGTAAATACATTTAAATAGACGTAAAGCATAAAGGAGTTGTTTAAGTTGTTCAGATGACATGAGCAGCTTCTCTGTCTTCAAGTGGAACTGACACAAGAATCATATGAGTGATTTATTATGAGTAAATAACTATGTATTTTCTTAGTAACTTTAATTTAATTACAGGTTGTTTCATAATAATGCGTCATAGTTCATAGAAATGAATTAGTAAAGTATTAGTATAAAGTATTAGTATAAAGTATTGGCAAGAGTTTCAAGAGTTAAAAGTTACGCCCTGCACCTGTGGCTCTTACCCATCATTATTATGCACCCTAAATCTTTAATGTTATGTTATATTATGTTATGTTATGCTATGTTATTTTATTTTAATTTTATTAATTGTATTTATTTTTATTTTTTTTCTATTTATTTATTTTTTAAATTTATTTATTTATTTTTATTAATTTTATTTTATATTTTTATTTTTATTTTTTTCTTATTTTTGAAATTTTATTTATTTATTTATCTTTTATTTATTTATTTTATTTAAATTTAATTAGATTTTTATTTATTTATTATGTTATTATTATTATTATTATTATTATTTATTTTTTTTTCTAAAAAGTTACACTCTGTTCTGTGGTTTTCAAGACAAACCAAAAATTCAGTACTTCATTATTTATCCATGAAAGTAAAATAAAAATAATTTACTTCTCAAAACCTAAACAGAATCTCGTCTAATCTCGCGACACTACAGATCTGTGAGAGAGCCTGAGAGGAAATATGTCCGTGTCTTAAACATGTCCGATTAGAAACATTCTCAAAACATTACATTTAATGAATAATCCGCGTACGTACAGTGACTATATATGTGTTACGTATTTGAATCGGTTTTTGGGACTTTCCGGGAGCCTGTTCACACATTACAATAAGAAATATCTCTTTTATTTAATTAAGTTTAACAGTAGCGGAACGGTTTGTTGTTGCCGTCACTTCGCCGCTTGGTTCCGTCGCGATGGCGGAGCTCGGAACCGAACCGGCCGCCGCTGTGGACGTAAACCCGCCTCCGAACCCGACCGACACCGCGATGGCGTATCTGCAGGACGAGGTGAGCCCCGCCGCGTCTCCCCCCCGCGAACCCGCCCGCCGCCTCGGTCTGATTAAACCGCGCCGAGCTGGTTTGTTTGGGGTTAGCCGTTAGCATTTAGCCTCCTGCACCAGGAAGTGGATTATTCTGACATTTCGGCCTGTCAACAGATCATAAACTAATAGAATGATAAAGTCATAAAATGGTCACACGGCAGGATCAGTGATTACAGAGTTGGTCAGCAGGTCTGTAATATTCAAATCAGATGGAGAGCAGGTGGAAATATTATTGTCAATCTGCAAACTGTTGCTTTTTAGTTAATAAAGTTAAGTTAAAGGGTCTGGGGTTTGGGTTGTCCAGAATTAAATGAACTATATGTAGCTGCACTGGACACAGGGCTCAAAACTGGGACTGCCCTGAGTAAATAGTGACGTCTGTCAGTCAAAATTGATTTGTATAGCACTTTTCATACATTTGACAAAATGCTTCACATGCAACAGAAAAATTACAATGAAATTTTTAAAAATGAAAAGAAATGGTCTGACTCTAGCAATATTTTTTAGATGATAAAAACCAGATTTAGTGATGGACCTGATGTGTGGCTCAAAGCTGAGCTCACAATCAATTGTAACTCCTTTTGACCCTCTCACAGGGTTCAGTGAGGAGGTTTGGAGCTCAGCTTTGAGCCTCTCTCTCTGAGCTTCAGGACTAATAATGAAAACCTTGCGTTTTCCCTGGTTGAGCTGCAGGAAGTTTCCTGCCATCCAGGACTTAATTTCTAAAATGAAGTTAAAAAGGTTATGGATCGGGCTCAGGTCATCAGGAGACACGGCGATATACAGTTGGGTGTCATCAGTATCATCAGTGTAGCTATGAAAGTTAACACTGTATCTGCTGATGACCTGTCCTAGTGGCAGCATGTACAGATTAAAAACAGTTGGACCTAAAATTGAGCCTTGGGAAACACCAGTCTCCATTTTACATTTTGCAGAGGAATGCTCCCCAGTATATAAATACTGAAAGTAGTGTCAATAAGATAAGATATGCCTTTATTAGTCCCACAGTGGGGAAATTCCAGTGTTGCAACGCGCAATTCAAGAACAGCAGGAAAAAGGTAACATGCAATAAAACAGATAATAGATAAAGGCTTAAAAATAATTTAAAAATAGACTTAAAATTATTATGTACAATAAAAGTTACAGTGCAGCATTTACAGTAATATGATTATGTTTATATACAGCAGCATTAAACAGGATAAAATATCAGTAAAGTGCCTTGTATCAGAGATGTTCTACATGGTCTCCGTGGTCTTCAGTATTGCACATAGATATATTTGAATGGCACATGTTCAGTGTGAGCAGTGTTTGTTGTACAGTCTGACAGCAGCAGGAAGGAAAAACCTGTGAACCCTCCTTCACACAGTGAGGGTGAATCAGTCTGTCACTGAAGCTGCTCTCCAGAGCAGACAGAGCGTCCTGCAGGGGGTGAGACTCATGGCCCAGCATAGGGATGACCTTAGCCAGGACCCTCCTGTCAGTATTATCGTGTATCGTTATATATCTCTCTTTAGCGATATATCGTGCTTCAAAATGTGTTATTGTGACAGGCCAAGCTCCCATCAAGGCCTCTGCAGTCCAGTAAGTTTCAGCTGCTTTATATTTTGCATCTGTGAAAAGATGAAAATACAAATTTAAAGAGATTTGAATGAAAACAGACAGTAGTACAAATGAAAAGAACAGAAGTGACGTGCGTTTCTGTTTGGACACTGGAACATGCAGCTTTCACAGCTGGCGTCCAAATATTAGAGATGAAATAAGATCGATTTCACAGAGAGAAAATTCACGTGAGCTCTTACTAAACAACAAAAAGCAGATTAGATAAATAATAAGTAATTTAGACTCGTAGTAAAGTGAATTACTCATAAATGAATCACTCTTTGCTCATTACAGACTCATTTGCAAATAAGTCGCCAAAACGTGTCCAGTCACGTATTTTCTTGCCTTCTGCTTATCCGGGGTTTATACATTCATCTTTACAATTAAAATACTTGTTACAATCACCCAATAACTGTTGGATCCAGAGTAGATTTTCTGGAAATATTAGTTTAAAAAAAGCAGTCTTATTAGCAAAATGAATCAGACAAATTACTAACCTGACTATCCCCTTTCTTAGTCTAGTTTTTGGTCCTAAATTGAACCTATTTTAGACCTGCTCTGGGTTTGGTGTGATCCTATTTTAATCCTTGTTTAGTCCTGTTTTAGTCCAGGTCTAGTTTTGGGGTTTAGTCACAGTTTTGATTTGCTGAGTGTGCAGAACGTGCGCCTGCGTGTATTTCGCTGATTGAAATAATAAATAATCGGGAAGATGAAAGTTTTGTGGCCGAAACTGATTAAATATGAAACGCTTGGCCGAAAACTGAAACCGAATATCCGCTGTGGTTGTTAAGTTTTTCAGTATTTTTTTTATATCGCATAAATAGCCTAGAATAAATTTTTAGACCTGTTTTTAAAAAGAAAGTGAATGTTTATTTTATGTTCTTTAAATATTCCAGTTGCCTTTCTAGTAGGTTTACCACTAAGTTTTTCATTCATGTTACACTAGGCCTTCAAACAAAACAACAATTCCAAAAAAACTTAAGTGCTTTAATGTGGATAAACCCACAACAAATGAATTATTGTCCTTCTGGTACAAGTCTGCTCAGCCACAGTAGATAGGCTCATAATATAAACAGAAGACTTTTAGTACTTGAAGTACGTTTAATTCACTCCACCGAAAGCTGAATGTGGCTTTTTTTTATTTTTTATATTTTTTGGCAACATTCAGCCTAATATATTTGGTTGCTGAATATTCATTGCATGCCTAATAAGTCTTTATTTACTTTTAAAAACAAAAGCCTAAAAATGTTTAAACAATCCAATAAATTATAATAAATAAATAAATAAAAATAAATAGAATAAAAATAAATAAGGAATAAAATCAAGATAAAACCAGTTAAAGGAAGAACAACTGATAAAAATGAGTTTTAAGAAGTGATTTTAAAGATGGTCCTGATTAGGGCTGGTGTCATTAAGAAGTTGCCGATACGATACATATCTCGATACAGTGCACTTTCGATTCGATACGATATATTTCAAACCGATTCAATACGGTTCAATAAAAATAAAGGCTAAATCATGGCTGTGATACTGAAAGTATTTGTTAAACCATTTTTTGTGCAAAGTTCATATGAAACACAAACATTTTAATCATCAAAAACAATGAAAATGTCAAATGTGTCGCATAAAAGAGTTTTCTTCCTCTAAACAAGCAACAAAACTGTAGCACTGTAACAAATAATTGAGTAAAATATACCAAAAAATACTCCTGGTGATATGTCGATACAGCAGCCCACAATATCGATACTGTATCATCACGCGATACGATAAATAGATATTCAGTATTTTTGCAGACCGCTAATACTGAAGGTGCGAGTCTTACTCCTCAGGCAGGTCGTTCCAAAGCCGAGGGCCCGGACTGAAAAGGCTCCATCACTTTTGTCCGGAGCCTGGACTTTGGAACAGCCACAGGGACCTGCCTGAGGATCTCCGGCTGCAGGAGGCTCGTACGGGGTTAAAATGTGACTTGGTGCAAGACCTAAACCCAGTTCTCCAACCTGTAGCTCTGCACCCCCTTACAAGTTGCTCACCAAATGATTTCTGAATTACACGTATTGTACTGAATAACTCCAATTTGATTAATTATTATTAGGGATGTAACAATAACCAAAATTTCGTGATATCGTATCGTCAAAGTTCTCACAATAACATCATGGAAGATCACATGTAGGTGACAGGACTGGTGCATGGTGTGGTTGAGGGTGTGGGTGTATTGGTCTGGTGCAGAGGGGGTGGGGCTCATGCATGCATGTGTGCGTACGTGTGTGTGTACATGTGTGCCTGTGGAAGGGTTTAAAAGTGTGCATTTACCTGTTACCCAGTTTTGACTGAAGGTCGGGGCTGGGGAGCCGTAATTTTTGTTGACCGCCACTCTTTCTGTATACTCACCCTTTATTTTCCAACTGGTTTCATCCATCTTCTTTGCTGCGCTGGGAGATCTGTATGTCTGGTGATAAAAATACAAAATACATTCTGGATCCCAGCATATTAGTTTACAATATGCATCACAAACTACGACCCCAGGACCCACTCTGATCTTCCCGAGCGGCTGTAAGGTTGGTCAATAAGCCGCTACATCACAATATATCGTCAAAGTTCTCACAATAATATCGTGGACCACCACAATATATCGACTCACAAGTCTCTTTGCTTAAATGAAGAGTTATGGTGCAGCAACAGCTCAAGAAAAGACGGAGGGAACTACATAGACCATGATCCTTTGCTCCATTTCAGTGCAGACGACAAGAAGAAATAACACTTCTAACACTTTTAAGACGTAGTTCTTTGGATTAAGTCTTGTCAAGGCATTTTGAGAGGAAAAAGTCGCATGTTCACAGTTTTGTCCACAAAATATCGCAATCAGTATCGCACCGTGAGATGTGTATCGTGAAAATATCGCGAGACTTTGATATCGTTACACCTCTAATTATCCCTAATTGAAAATGTGTTACTTTTGAACTTTGTGCTCTAGTAAATAGATAATGGTTTTAAGTTTTATACTCATCTAATTGTACATCTAAGGTTTGCCCTCTTATATCGACTACATTTCCGAGCAGCTCTCCGGCATTTTCATTTCGTAAAGCAAGCTCACCGGACACAAAAGTTTGAAGATCAGACCTAAACGAGCTTTAAAAGTGATCAGTAAAATCTTAAAATCGATTCTAAAGCACACAGGAGACAGTGAAGGGAAGTAAAACAGGGCGACGTGTTGATGTCAAACCCGGTGAGGTAAAGAAGTTTCCCATTGACGTTATTTTGTTTACTACTTGATAATTAAAAAGCAGCATGACAGCACGGCAGGCAGAAATAACACAAGTATTGTCCACTGCAATTAGTATAATTTGTAAAGCTTAAATATAGTCTTGA